GTTTTCTTGTAGGCACGTGCATGCAAGTTGAGAAGATCACGAAGCTTTGAGAAATGCGCGGGATGAGGGGCAAGCCTGAGCTGCCCATCTGAACTCAAAATGTGCCGCCTCTTGAGGAAGCTCACCTCGGTGCCCGGCTCAAGGATCTCAAGGGACAACTTGTACTTTTCACGAAGAACTGGTTCGACATGTGCACGCACGAAGCTTCGAGGCGAAAGCCCCAAGAAGTCGTCGACGTGCATCTGCATCCCTGAAAACTTGCCGTCATGTTCCATGCGAAGTAGCGATGGATGCGTTGCACAAGCAGTGGTCTGGAGCCTGTCGCCGAGGTAGGTGGTCACGTCCTTGTACCACCTTTGTGCTCCGTCCCTCTGCCCCGGCAACACCCGCCCCAGCATGAACTCAAAGGTTTCGGAGCCGATCTTCAACCGAACAATCGTGTCCACTTCTTGCGCTACGGTGAGGTACGCGTCTGCAATGTCCATCACATACAACACGTAATCACTCTCTCTGTCTGTCTCTCTCAGTCGCACATACAAAGCTGGGAGTAAGCGATTTGCCACCGATGATGAAGCCGGTGCAAAGAGGTCTTCTCGATCTTCCATCCAGGCGAATTCTTTCGCCACGAACCTCGACCTCCTAAGCCATATATTCTTGCCCTCATGCACTTTAGCCCTCCATGATCTCACGAAGCGAGTGTCAAGATACTTGGGTGTGGAGTTTGATGGCAATGACGACGATGGCAACAAAACTTCAAGCTTCTTAAGGCGAAGAATTTCGACATGATCCGCGATGTCATCTAGGCGCTGGAGCTCCTCTGGGGATAGATTGGGCTCATCTCTCTCTCGGGAACATCAGCTGCTCATTCATGTCATCAAGAGAATCACTTTGATCAAGAGAAAACTCGTAATCATCTAGGTCCGCTGCTGTGTCCCCAAAGTCAAGCTCGAGGATCTCATCTTCATGGGTGTACACCGACTCCCCGACCTGACACATGCTACACTTCTCCACTCGATTGATGCTCCCTGGTGGCCCAGATGAATCACTCGACGAACCCGTTGACATATGAGAACTGGGAGCGCCTGCTGGCAAAGAAAACGAAGATGCTCGAGACATCCCCGCATCGTCATCATGACCTTGGCTGGCATCACCAGCCTCACTTGGACTTGGCGGGTCAGAAGCTGCCTCATCACCAAGGTTGCCCGGGACAAAGGCTGCTGTCTTCTCCGGAATCGATGGCATTGCAACTGCCTTTGGCTTCTCAACCCTCTCAGACACCACCAGCTTGCCCCCGAGATTAGCATGCCCATGCTCCCAAGGTGCAACTTCAATAGCACCTGGTTCCGTTAAGCTCCACGCATTTGGCAACCGTCGAATGCTTCTCGTCACAAACAGACCTGCACTGGTAGCCACGATGTGGGAATCATTCAAGATGGACTTTGAAATCCATATGCTTCGGACCCACCGTGGGCCTGCTTTCGCTGATGTCTTGATGTACCCGAGAACTGCTCCTAAGCCGCAAGCTTACCTGTGTATTG